AAAAAAAAAGGTATTTATTTATTTTCCTGATTTAATTTAGCTTTTTCATCATCAGTTTTTGGTGCATCTTCAAGATCTGGCATTGGTTCATCGTCACTATCCATTTCGTCATCTTCAAGATCATTTAAATCAGTTGCTGATGGACCACCGACTAAATTGCCACCCATTTGCTTAAACATACCATCTAAAATAAACTAATTAATAAATCATTTTTTTCAAAAAAGATTATTTTACCTAAATCACCCCAATCTTTACCATCAGCACCATTTAATTCATCATCATCATCATCACCTGATTATATAAAGAAAAATGTGAATGTTTTATATTATTGTCATTTGTTTTACCTTCAGCTGTAAAGTGATTCCAGTCGACGGTAATCCATTGAAACTAAAAAGATAAAAGATGAATGAATACAATTCGATAATAAAATCGTTTTCTTGTACTTTTTCAGCTGATTTAGTTAATCGTTTCCAAAATGGTTTTTTGGGATCTTTCTTTTTAAGCATAAATTCCCAATGATTCTGACTTGTTTTACGATATTTTGATCCCTAAAAGAAAATATATAAACTAACTACAAGAGTGATAAAATACTAGCATACCTTAGGATCTATTTCATCGAAAAATTCTAATGTTGCATCATAGTTCAATCCTTTTGTTTGTTGTCCTCTATAATAAAGTATAGAAAATTATTTAAAATCACAAAGAACATGTGTTCTCTTACTTAAAATGAAGTTTTGTTGATTCAATATTAATTTCAGGTTTATCAATATCTTGTACAGCAATTGTTAATAAAATATGATCCTTCTTTTGACCCCATTTGACCGATGGATGAGCAGTAGTCCTAGAAAATAGAATTTTACAACAGTTTTACTTTATAAAAAACAGAAACATACATTTTTTATGATGATTTGAATTTGTATAAATGAAGTTCGTCTCTAATAAGATAATCTAGTTATAACTCGTTAGAAATAAATGAATCAGAAAAAATAAACAATATCAAAGCCAATGAATTCTCTTTTATCTAACGCCCTCTATCTCTAAATTGTCTTATGTGTATGTATACTATAGGAAAATCCTTTTTCTTCTCATTTATTCTTAAGCATGCCTTTTGACGTAGCGGATATAATAAAATTCTTAATCAAATAATTCTAAATTATTACTAGTTGTATATGAATATAATCAGACAAACAATAACTTGAGGATATACATCGAGTGTTTTATGTTATATCAGAATTCCCATCATCGATCAAAATGAAAGTGTTTCTTTTTAAACCCGATTTCAATACCAATTCGTTAGTAATATGAAAATCATATTTCTGTTATAGATCATCTACTTTACATCATTTCTTGCTATATCTAGTTTGATTTATTTACTCTCATTGTTTTTATTGAAACGAAAGTAACGTCTGTAAAACAGATATCAATTTATAATAAATCAAAGACCATTATTGAAATGGTAGTAATAGTAACCGTGTTAATTCATTTTTAAGCTGATAATGAGATGTAAAAATTTAAAAGCCAATGGTATTTTTTCTTAACGCCATCTATTTGTTGTCCTCTCTAGTGTAAATGTTATACTTACTACATTGAATAATAAAAAATTGATTGATTGCTTTGATATAAGCTGATGAAATACTCAAACTTTAGTTATTTGTTATAGATTATTATAAAATGGCTTTTCGTAATCTTACCCGAAGTTTATTTCAATTAACTAAACGTACGAATATAAATCAACGTTTATATTCTTCAATTCAATATTCACAACAATATCGAAAATTTGAAATAACTCAACGATATTTTTCAATTCGAAAATTTTCATCAATACAAACTAATGATAATGCTTATCGTGATCTCGATACATTTCTACAAAAAGAAATTCAATTAGAAAATACTGCACAAAAACATCCAACTCAATTACCAAATATTCAAGATTTTCAAGTTGATTTTATTTTATATTATTTCATTGATTATTTATTCTTTTTGTTTTAGGTAGAAACAAAGGGTCCAGAAGTAACATTAACTCGTCAAGTTGGTGATGATAAAATTACTGTGAAATTTAATGTAACCAATACAGTAAATACTAGTGAATCTGAGCAAGAGGTAGAATTAAATGCAACAGAACAACAGGCTAATAATGCACCAACACAATTAAAATCTCGACCAACATTTACTATTGATATAAATCGTGGTAATCAAATATTATCATTTCTTTGTTCATATTTACCAAATGAAGATCCTGATACACGAAATCAACATGGTGGAATTGAAAACGAACAAAAACCTGATGGTGAACAAGGACATTTCTTAGAAGATTTTCAAATCGATGAATTTGCTATTCACGAAGGAGAATGGAATGATAAAGTTTATTCTTCAGATTGTTCAGTTATTGACGGTGATCTTTATGATAAATTACTTAATTTACTTGAAGAACATGGTAT